GGCAGTGATGCTCTGTCTTCTTGGTGCTTGGGGGGCCACAGTGGGAGGGCTTCTGGCCCTGCTGGTGGACTTCCTGATGGCACCTGATATTTCTGGCCACTGTGGGACAACAGAGTGTTGGACTGGATGGGCCAACATGGGTTCCCTTATTTTCTTAAAAATCATATTATTTCTTATTATTTATGGTATTTACACTCTGCTTTTCTCCCCAACCGGGACCAAAAGCGGCTTACATCTTCCTTCTCTCGCTGGATTATAGTAGGTAATCCAGCAATAAGCAAAGAGAACCAAGCTTTGTTTAAAGCCCTGATACTAGCAGGCAAAGCAGTAATAGCTCTAGGCTGGAAGAACAAAAATAAATGGACAGTAGAAATCTGGCATAATTATTTGTTTGATCTCATACAGTCCGACATAATCGAAAAACTGGAACGTAAGGCCACATGGAAAGACAAGACTACGGAGATCACGATGAAGTGGAAGACCTACCTGGAATGGATACCGACAGAAGGAAGAAAAGACATTCATGACAACAGAGTGCTGGACGGGAGGGGCCAACATGGGTTCCCTTATTTTCTTAAAAATCATATTATTTCTTATTATTTATGATATTTACACTCTGCTTTTCTCCCCAACCGGGACCAAAAGCGGTTTACATCTTCCTTCTCTCCTCCATTTTATCCTCACGACAACCCTGTCAGGTATGTTAGGTTATGATTGTGTGTGACTGGCCCAAGGTCACCCAGCAAGCTTCCACAGCAGAAGCAGGGATCTGAACCTGAGTCTCTACTGTAGTATTCACACACACGCCCACCTGAATGCTGAGCTGAACTACTGGCTCTTAATCCCTCTATCCAAACTTATTTTGGCTTTAGGAACCAGACTTATTTTTCAGACTTCAGGGTTTTATATTTTCATGACCACACTCTCATTATTGCTGCCACAAAACCTAGTCCTGAACTCCATGCAGTATCTCGTTGTCATTTTTTTAAAAGCTGGAACAAAAGCATTGTAACAGATTAAAAAATGAGGTAACCCTGGTTGTCATCCAACAAAAAAAAAAACCTAACCTCTATCCCACAGCTACATGAACTCCGAACTTCTATTGAGAATCACCAAGCAGCACTGGCAATTCAAGGATTCTAAGCATAAGAACATAAGAGAAGCCAATGCTGGATCAGGCCAGTGACCCATCCAGTCCAACACTCTGTCTCACACAGTGGCCAAAAATACCAGGAGCCATCAGGAGGTCCAGCCGTGGGGCCAGGAGGACACTAGGAGCCCTCCCACTGTTGGCTCCCCCCCAAGCACCAAGAATACAGAGCATCCCTTGCGCCCCAGACTGAGAGTTCCTATCTATACCTTGTGGCTAATAGCCACTGATGGACCTCTGCTCCATATGCTTATCTAATTCCCTCTTGAAGCCGTCCATGCTTGTAGCCGCCACCACCTCCTGTGACAGTGAATTCCATGTGTTAATCACTCTTTGGGTGAAGAAGGACTTCCTTTTATCCGTTCTAACCCGACCGCTCAGCAATTTCATTGGAGTGCCCACGAGTTCTTGTCTTGTGAGAAAGGGAGAAAAGGACTTCTTTCTCTACCTGCTCTATCCCATACCAGAGCAGACCTCTGGTGTATTCAAGGGGGCGGGTTACGTCTGAGAAACTGTCCTTAGAACTGGTACCTAACTATCCTGAAAATCCAGTGTAAGATGGATTCCAATTATTTGTATTTTTCACATCTATGAATTGATACGGGCAGAGTCCAACCCATCCCTGGTGCCTCGCAATTTCACTGTGGCATCGAGCATTTTATCAGTCATTTATTGTCAGTGCAGCCGCTTCGAATCCGGCTGGGGGGGGGGGGGCGGCGGTTATGCCTGAGAATCTGTCCTCAGAATTGGTACCTAAGTATCCTGGACCAATGCTCCCTCTAAGCTTTGGAGCCTTGTGACCAAAGATTTCTACTTTGTGAGCTACCGGGATTAAAGTTGTGAGCAAGCGATTTGGCTGCTGCATGAATTGGTTTGCTCTGGAGCCATCCGTCCTAAGGCAGAAATGTGTGAGCTAGAGGCTAAAAAACTGCAAGCTGGCTCACACTAACTCAGCTTAGAGGGAACACGGATCCTGACCATCCAGTGGAAGAGAGGATGGCTACTTCAGGCAACTGATAGTGTTTCCTTTCCCCATTCAAACTGAGTGCATGCAGCAAACGCTGGGAGCACAGACCAGACTGAAAACTGTTCAGTCGGCCCCCCGCAAAGGTGAGACTGTGGCCTCCTAGCCGGGCCCGGGCAACGGCTGCGAAGGGACACTGGAGCCTGAAATTAGGGTTTTTTTTTCCCTATCATAATAATAGTGACTGAAAAAATCATTAAGCAAATGCAAGACAAAAGCTTGGCCTTGGGTTGCAATTACGTAGCTCTTTGCTGCTTTCTAGGTCAGAGACATTTTAAAACTGACCAGTCTCTCTTTATGTGTATACATTCTTTATTCTGCTGTGAGGCAAAGCACCCCTGGCCTCCTCTCAAGGGTTAATGTGAATAGTAACTGGACTGGTGTGTTCTGCAGGTGTTACTCATCGGCCTTTTGGCCTACACCGCTCTTATCATCTTCAAGGCCAAAGTAGTTAGCTTCTCATGAGAACGCTGTGGTAGTGGTTGAGAGGGTGGGGGGGGGGGAGAACCAGAGGTGATGAGGTGATTTTCTAGAGGTTTCTCCTGGAGACTTGTCCTGATTGGATGTCATCATCGCCTGATGTGCAGGCCCCAAAAACTATAATTAAGCTAAGGTCCTGAGGAAGATTGAGTTGCTTGGATTTTGATGGACTAGAGGCCTGAACTCTGACATGCAATTGCTAGAAACGCAGAGAACACTTGAGCCTTGGCCTTTGACTCTGGAAATTTAAGGTTTGTGCCACCCAATGCAGGTTCATGTATGGCTGCGAGAAGAATAGATTCTTTTGAACTAGGGTGCTGGAGAAGACTCTTGAGAGTCCCTTGGACTGCAAGAAGATCAAATCTGTCAATCCTAAAAGAAATCAACCCTGACTGTTCCCTGGAAGGCCAGATACTGAAGCTGAAGCTCAAATACTTTGGCCACCCAATGAGAAGGGAGCACTCACAGGAGAAGACCCTGATGCTGGGAAAGATTGAAGGTCAAAAAAGACGGGGACGGCAAAGGATGAGATGGTTAGACAGTGTCACATGGGGTCGGCACTTTCATCGAGTAGTCCACTCCAACCCCAAGATCTTTTCCCCTCTCAGGATCAGCAAGTTCAGAAAAACTAAGATCATGGCATCCAGACCCATCACTCCTTGGCAATGGCAAATAGAAGGGGAAGTCGTGGAAGTAGTGACAGACTTCACGTTCCTGGGATCCCAGATCACCGCAGACGGTGACAGCAGCCATGAAATTAAAAGACGCCTGCTCCTTGGGAAGAAAGCGATGGCGAACCTAAACAGCATGATAAAAAGTAGAGACATCTCCCTGCCAACAAAAGTCCACATGGTCAAAGCAATGGTATTCCTAGTAATCATGTATGGCTGCGAGAGTTGGACTATAAGGAAGGCCGAGCACCGAAGAATAGATTCTTTTGAACTATGGTGCTGGAGAAGACTCTTGAGAGTCCCTTGGACTGCAAGGAGATCAAAACAGTCAATCCAAAAAGAAATCAACCCTGACTGTTCCCTGGAAGGCCAGATAATGAAAATGAAGCTCAAATACTTTGGCCACCCAATGAGAAGGGAGCACTCACTGGAGAAGACCCTGATGCTGGGAAAGATTGAAGGTCAAAGAAGACGGGGACGGCAAAGGATGACATGGTTAGACAGTGTCATAGGTGCAACGAGCATGAAGTTGAGCAAACTTCAGAGGACGGCGGAAGACAGGAAGGCCTGGCGTGATCTGGTCCATGGGGTCGCGAAGAGTCAGACTCGACTGTGCGACTGAACAACAACAACAAATGTAGGTTCTGAAAAGTGTTAGGCAACTGAGATAGCTTTCTTGCTGTGTGATCAAAGAGTAATGTGTTGCACACAGAATAATTGTTTATTTGATTGGAATTAATAAACTTCATAAAATATATTTTTTTAAAATTAAACCACCATCTGGTTACTTGCGTGCACCCGCCTTGGGGACCCACGGAGTTCAGCTTTAGGCTCCTCGCTTTTATTATTTGATTGTGATAAAACAACGGTCTCCATTCATTCCATCATAGAAACTCATGTGGTGGGCTAGATTTAAATCCAGGCGCACCTTCGAGACCAACAAAACTTTTTTTTTGGGGGGGGGTCTAAGCTTTCAAGTTTTGGCTTGTTTTCCCAATATTTCGTTGCACTTAATATCTAAAGAACTTCCTCCTCATTGTGGCTTCTTTTGGCTTGGGAATAGATTCCTACAACAGCTCCCTTCAGCAGACACCAGTTTAGGTTTCTCAGTATCATTTTAGGTTTCTCGGTTTAACACAAAAAGTTACTCTACTACTCCTGGGCATTTAATTGCAGTTTGATCTGCAGAAATCAACATTATCCCATGCTAATGTATGCCAGTGAAGCCACTGTCAACAGCACAGGAGGAAACATCTCTTTGTCATCCCAAATAACACTGACCACAGTCACATCTCTTTGACATCCCAAACAATACTGACCACAGCTGAGAGAACTTTGCCTTTGCAAGGATGCAAACTTTGCAACAGCATGAATGTCATGAAAGTGATCCTTCTTCAGCAACAGCACCCAAGGTGGGCTGACTACACCGAGAGCACATTCAGAGCTCTGACACTCCTCACAGCTAGGCTGACCAGAGGCAACAGAGGAGGCAGCTCTTGGATTTTTAAGAGGGGCAGGTGCAATTTGCCATGCAGAGGGTAAGGAAAAAATCCTGCATGTGCTGAAATGCTCTCTGCTTTTAGCACCCCAATGCACCTCACTGCAAACCCATCCCAAACTGGCTGTGGAGTCAAAACCCACAGTTTCCAGGGCATCCTGGTCATGCCCTAAAGAGCTGGATGGACATGGAAACTCTGTTGGAATTTGCTCACTGTGAGTACTCGAGGCTGCTACTCCATTTCCTCGCAGTGGGCCAGACTGAAATGGGGATAGTTTCTGGCTAACTGCATTCAAACCTCTCTGACTTCTAAAGGGTCCCTTTCTCAGACTATCCTACCTCACAGATGTTGTGAGGATGCCTTGGTCAGGTCCTATGCTAAAACCTGAAGCATGGACAGCTTCAAAAGGGAATTAGATAAGCATATGGAGCAGAGGTCCATCAGTGGCTATTAGCCACAAGGTATAGATAGGGGCTCTGGGGCAAGGGATGCTCTGTCTTCTTGGTGCTTGGGGGGTTTCAAGAGTGGGAGCGCTTCTAATGTCCTGGCCCCACTGGTGGACCTCCTGATGGCACCTGGTATTTCTGGCCACTGTGTGACACAGAGTGTTGGACTGGATAGGCCTTTGGCCTGATCCAACATTGGCATCTCTGATGTTCTTATGGGTAGTGAAGGGCGGGGTATAAATCCAATCTCTCTCCCTCCACTGTTCTGATGAGTTGATAGGCGAGCTCTACTCCCGAGTATGTCTATTCCATGCCCTATCCAGGTGCTCTTACCCTGGTGAACATATGTGGAGCTGCCTCATACTCAGAGGTCATTTCGGGGGGGAACGCGGGGGAACACAGTTCCCCCGGGTGAGGTGCAGGGGGGCGGGGCACATGACGAAGCCCCGCCCCTTGCTTCCGGCCGCCCCGCTTCCAGCCCTCATTCAGCCAGGAGGAGGCAGGAGAAGAGGGAGGGTAAGTTGCTTCCTCCCCGCCTCTCCCCACCCCTGCCTGCCTGGGGCCAGGGAGGGCCTTGGCCGGGCTTCCTCGCACTCCCGCTGGCCTTGCAGGTCCACCGCTGGGCCCCTGATGTCAGGGGGTGTGGCATATGCTAATGAGTTATGCTAATGAGTTCCCCTAGCTCTTTTTCTACGAAATGACCCCTGCTCATACTGAATCAGTCCATCAGTCCATGAAGAGCAGTGTTGTCTACTCAGAACGTCAGCTGCGCTTCAGAGGTCTTTGGCATCACCCGCTGCCTGGTCCTTTTTACCTGGAACTGCTGCCGGGGATTGAACCTGGGACCTTTTGCATGCAGAGCAGAGGCTCTGCCACCAAGCCACAGCGCCTCATCTGTTCTCAGAATCTCTCTCAGCCACTCACAGGCAAACTTAGAAATTGCCAGCCTGCACTTTTATTCCAAACACCTCATCACACAGGGCGCTTTCACATAACTAGCAAAACAAGCACCAGCAGTTTTACTAGACACAGATAAAATCCAGTCACGAAAAAGGCTTTTGAATTAAAGTTCAACGGAGTCACAAAATTCTGAAATCCAGAAAAGACAAAGAGGAGTCCTGTGGTACCGTGAAAACCAACACATTTATTGCAGTGCGTGCTTTTGTAAGCTCGAGCCCACTTCATCAGATGCAGCGTGTGAGAGATTCTGTTACAAGGAATGCATTTATCTTCAAGGTGCCACTGGAGTCTTCTTTTGTCTTTGGTGCAACAGGCAAACATGGCTATTGTCTTGGGAGTCCAAATCAGGAGAAATCCTTTAAGACAGAGGGAACTACCTAAACACTGAGACTTAGATATGACTGATGCATAACTATGCCTCATGGTATGGAAGATGCTAGGTATTGCATTCAATGATGCTCCTGAGTAGTACACATATGCATTCAATCCGCATGAGCAGGTAGCAAGATTTCCTCCCAGTGGCCCTCCTGCATACACCTCGTGGCTTCTAGTGCAGCCTCCAAGGGAGACAGACGCTGGGACCAAAGGGGCATTCTCTCCCTTTTTTGCTCACCAAGGATTTTGACCTAGCGCCAGAGCCCTCCGGCTGTTTCCTGCCCCATCCCCAAAGGGCAGCCCTGTTTGCCTGCTGCTGTGGTAAAGAAGGAAGTCTCCTGTGTTTGCGTGCAAGAGGCTGTCGCACGCCAGCTGCCTTCGGTCTTTGTCTGCCTCGCCCCATAAAGAGCCCAGAGAGGCCCCTGCTTGCTTGGTTTGTCCTGGTGGGAAACCGCCACTTGTGGCCCGCCCTCACCAGGCGAAGGCGATGCTGCTGCTGCTCTCCTCGCCAGAGCGAGGGAAACGGCCCTCCTCCCCACCGAGGTGGATGGGGGGGGGCGTCCATCAGGGCTAGCATCGCCTGCTCGGGCTGGCAGCGCTCTCCATCACTTTCCAGTGGCGCTGCTGCCGGGAAGTGACCCGGGGTCAGGGACCTTTGGGTGGCCCCTCATCCCCGGCTCTTCTGCAGAGTCGCAGCCCCTCCGCCCCCCTCCAGTGTTCCCTCTAAGCTGGGTTAGTGTGAGCCAGCTCACAGTTTTCTAGCCTCCGGCACACACATTTTAGCCTTCACTCAGGAAGGACAGCTCCAGAGCAAACTAATTTATACAGCAGCCAAATCGTTTGCTCACAGCAGTAATGCCAGCAGCTCATAAAAGTATAATTTTTGCTCACAAGACTCCACGGCTTAGAGGGAGCCTTGGTCCCGAGCAGTGTTCCCTCTAAGCTGAGTCGGTGTGAGCTAGCTCGCAGTTTTTCAGCCTCCAACTCACACATTTTTTGTCTTGGCTCAGGAAGGAGGGGCTCCAGAGCAAACTAATTTTATGCAGTAGCCAAATTACCTGCTCACAGCTTTAATGCCAGCAGCTCACAAAGTAGGATTTGTGCTCACCAGACTCCACGGTTTAGAGGGAGCATTGGACCAGGGCAAAACACCTCTGTTCATCTCTGGCCGTGACAACCGCAGTCGGATCCCAGCCAGTGTTCCCTCTCAGCTGAGTCGGTGTCAGCTAGCTCACAGTCTTTTAGCCTCTGGCTCAGACCTTTTTTTTGGTTTCATCTCAGGAAGGAAGGCTCCACAGCAAACTAATTGATGCAGCAGCCAAATGGCTCGCTCACAACTTTCATGCCAGGAGCTCACAAAGTAGGATGTTTTGCTCACAGGACTCCACAGCTTAGAGGGAGCATTGCTCCTGAGCAGTGTAGCCTCTAAGCAGGGTTATAGTGTGAGCTAGCTCACAGTCTTTTAGCCTCCGGCTCACACCTTTTTTTTGTCTCGTCTCAGGGAGGATGGGGCTCCAGAGCAAACTAACTGATGCAGCAGCCCAATCGCTCGCTCACAACTTCAATGCCAGCAGCTCACAAAAGTAGGATTTTTGCTCACAGGACTCCACGGCTTAGAGGGAGCATTGGTCTCTCATCACCCCACCACCACCACCACCC